CAACACCAAACGTTCGGACCGATCCGTTTCACTACTGATAGGACAGACATGAAAAACTGCGAACTTGGTGCACTTGAGTTCACTCGGAAACAGAGTACGGACCTTACTCGACGTACGTTCGTGTGTCCGGATGACCAGGTAACACAATAACTATCTTCCTTCGCTGTGGCTACGAACACGCACTGCATACTTCCGTAGCATTGTTATGCTGATGGTATTTATCAACTATTGTTAAAACAATTTTTGTCCCGTCGATACCGTTATGATGTGATCCCCTCACTGAACATGAGCTGATGGGCTGTACTCCGGTCCAGCCGGATACTAGTGCCAAGCGGCACTTCCTAAACCTTTCGCCATTCGGGTCGTTGCCGTTCTGTATTGGTCAGCATCCAATCACTCCGCCTCGGCTAACGCGCAACGGACACCGATGGGTTTCCTGCGCAGCTTCCACTATTTTTGCGGTTTCTTCAAACTACTCGTGAGTAGGCAGTAAATGGCAAACATTTATACTATCAGCCTGTGCAGCCTGGGTAAGCTGTTCCGCTGGAAAGAATCGTTGTCATTCAAGGCACGTTACCTACAAAATCCTTCGTACAATCTACTCGGAACGTGATTAGATTAAAAACCAGTTCCTCAGACAATCACATGTAGAAGAATTTTCCTTCTCTCCAATGGCCAAATGAAGGTCAATCGGCTTAGTCAAGAAGACGTCACGGGTCGCTACTCAATTAAGGTAGAGTTGTCGGGGTCTGTCGGCCTGAATAGAACAGTGCCTGTTAATTACGTGGTGTAATTATTTGTTTCCCAATTCCTCAGGCTAATTCGTCACCCTTCCGGTGACTGCTCAAGTCTCAAGACTGAACTGTTCTATTTTATACAAAGTTGACTCTACCTTAACCGTTTTTCTATAGACGATTTGTTTACATTTATTTCTGGGCTTGTTGTTGAAAATTTGTCCCACTTTGAAGTGAACAACATTTTTCCCGTTTAGTTTGTCCGATAGCACACTGCCCTTCGTGTGCCATCCTGTGTTGCTAACTACCCAAGGTTCAATCTAGCCGTAAGCTTTTCTTTAGTTCTCCTCACGATTTATTGTTAATTTCCTATAGAACCATGGTCTACCTATCTATACTGTCTGCCCACGTCTGATTTAATAAATTGTTCACTGCCCAATTGCGACTACTGAGGAAACGCAGGTGAAGTTCATAGAATTCGGTTTCGCCGCAATTATTACTGACCGTCCGTTGGTGAATTGGACTACACGTTACCTGTCAGATAGGACTCCTAGATCGTATGTTTAGGCTAATTAACCAGTTCCTTGCTTTGAGATCACGGCCTTAGCACATGATCGTACAGTGCCGTTAAAATATGAAGGAGCCGCTAAACTGTCAATTTCCGTTTTTTGTGGACCTATTCACCGATAATATGCATCTCATTTCGTACAAATTTGAAACGCATTGGTGGGCGTATAGTGGTTCATCTTGTTCTTGTCACCCCAAGCCAATTCGTCCAAGTTTAACCTGTTCTGTAAAGTTTATGAAAACCTATGCTACTTGATCCTGATTTGCTATGTAGCTGCACTTTCAGACCGGTTATCGATGTTGTAATGAAAACAAGTCGAATGCTCTGACAGTCCAGGCGTAGGTAAAACACCAAAAAATATCACCTAATCCTGAACCCTGACTTTGCAGTTCATCAACATATATTGGGACCTGATTCACCCTCAAGTGCAATGGGTGTGACAATTTACCCGCGTGCTAATATCGGTTTGTCATGGAGTTTTTGTTCACCACTTTACCATAAGTGCTGTCATTAAGTTGCAACTATAAATGAACAGCTGGAGGGAAGGTGAGACAATGCTTGAAGGAAAACATCCGATTGATTCACAGACCACGGAGAGACCGCACCATCCATGTTTCAACTCATGTGGTCTCGCGAAACACCCTGGAATTTTCGGTATCGTAGGATCGAGCGAACCGAACCTGAATTGGTGCACCTTTGTGACAAATAACACACTCAAACGACCACTAGGAAGCGAAACAAAGGAGAGGAGTTGTCTATCATGAAGCTGCAGTTTCTTGGCCGATCGAAGGGGTTTATGAACATGCACTGGACAACTGCAGGGCTAATGACCCCTGAGCAATTTCTTCAATTCAGCGAAGTGGTGACACAATATGTTTCAAACTGAGTTTTCGTCACTTTGATGGTTAATAGAAAGGATGATAGCCATCGGATGTGTACATGAACGAAGAGCCTGAGCCTTATGGTGGTGCGACACTTTACGTAGCTCAGGAACTAAATTAGGTATTTTGGAAGGTGCCTCTACAACATCCACAGTGTTTCTCTTGTTGCTGGATTGAGGTGTATCAGACAATCTTCTGGCTGGAATACGTGTGCTAGCTTGTTCTCTAAACGTTGGGTGCCTCTTGAATTCTCACGTCTGTCACCGCGGTCAGGTGTTTGAGCCGGAAGCCTCAGTTCATAGATTTAATCGTCGTATGGTCTAAATTTAGGTACCCTGGCAGTCACTCCACCTATAGGCAACCATGAAATGCGCAAATGAGTGTCCTGCCACCCGTTCTTTTTCGCTTACTTATCGATTTTCTACAGATCCCAGCTGTAAATACGTTTTAGGCACCCAAGGAAGTTACCAACTAACCACA